TGCCCGACCTTCACGAGTGTTCCCAGCGATCTCTGTTTTTGTTTCAGATTTCCAGCATCTGCAGTATTTGCGTTTTATTTCTGATAATTACCTGTTATTTGATTTTATGTGTCTGTTGAAGAAATGACTTCAAGTTCATATATACTTTTGCGCACGTTCAAATAATTTGAAACTCAGTGAACATGCAAACTGATTTCAAACAAAATGCTTGAATGGATTTGAAATTCATCGAAAATATTATCAGATACAATTACAATTACTGTTTGGTTGTGAATACAGGTCTAGCAGCATATTTAGTTATGAAAAGTTTGGAAAATAGATTCGTTTTATTTTATTGGCAAGATTAATATTAATATTATTAATAAGAAGGTTAATATTAATATATAATAATATTGTTAGTAAAATAAAGCGATCCTGGTGACTTATTACTCTAATAGTTTTGCAGTATGAAAATGTTTGATCTACAAAAATAGGAGTCCCATTAACCCCGCTAACCATCAAGTGGGAATCATTAGAATTGATCACCAATGATTTTGAACAACCTGTAAAATTTATTTTGACCTCTTCGGTGCCTTAAATGCACTACTACTTATAGCATTAGTTCTGAACTACAAATCCTTATGCTACTGAACAGTTTGGTGTACTCATAACTGAGGAGTGAGTGACAGAAATGTTGCAAAGCTATGAACCATTAACTGGCGAACCTCAACATATAGTGCTCTGACCACAGAGTAAAGAATCAAACTAAAACTTGGTTCATATAATAGAGACTCAAGAATTAGAATTGTCATGTTCTGAACATTTGAGGAACATTATTATTTCATTAAAAAAAGAAAGGTTCTCCCATTTTTTCACTTACCAGCAAACTGTTCCTATGCATGTTCCCTTGGTAATGGCCAATGGAAATGTAGGGTAAATTGTATTTTTTTAACTATTTGCAGCAATCTTAAGTTTATTTTGTACACGTTACACCATAACAAATGAATTGTATTCAGTGGCACAAAATCCAGTTTTGTATTGCTGTAGGAATATTAATAACCCAGTATAAATGTATTTCTGATATACTTTCACATTCTCTTTAATGACTACGGATGAAATGCCATCAGAGANTTTTTTTTTGAAGTGTAGAAAATGACCCAGCACCATCTGCAAGATTTTTTTTCTTTTCTTTTAATTACATTTCAACAAAATGGAAAGCATCAAACTGCTGCCATGCCAGTCCTGCACAAGCATCAGGTATAACCTGATACCCAGATGCTAAAAAAAACCCTCAACAGAACATGGCTTTAAACAAAAATGCAATTATTCCACATTCAGCAATATTATGTTCCTTGCATAAAAATGTTAAGTCGGTAGGAAATTGCACACCCCCTATACTCTACATGTTCATGTTTGAAAAATTGAGGGCTGTGTTCGATCACTTCGCCTTAGATTACACTGTGCACTGAGTAAACTTTGAACTCTGTGGTGACACCAATTTGTCTATGTCTTGTTCTCAATGCAAGAAGTAAAAGTATGGAATGTGATTGACTCAAATAAAAACAGAAAAAACAGAAAATGTTGGAAATTCGCAGATCAAACAACACCTGAAGGAGAAATATGGGTTAATATTTTAGATCTGGCTCTTTACAAAATAGAATAATTGTTAGGGAGAAGCATATTTTAGAGTTCTTAAAAGGGCAGGATGTCCAGACCAAGAAAATAAGGACATTGGGAAGAAGTAACAACAATTTAAAGCCACTCCACAAAAAAAAAGCAGAGAATTGGCCAATAATTGAGTGGCAAGTTGTAAAGGATGCAAAAGTAATTTAGCTGTTGGGGAAACATACAAAGGAAGCAACAAAAAAGTTGTTAACGTCATGTTCAAGCCAATGGACTAAGGAGGTCCCCAAAGGAAGATGAAATGCTATTTGTGAAGTTAAGCTTTCCTGAAGGAATGTAGGAAGCCATCGATGTAAGTCAGAATCAGAATAACAGTGAGAGATAGAGTAGAAACATTTGAGCCATGGGGAGGTCAGGATTATGGTTCTAGACAGAATAGAGATGTTCAGCAAATTGGCCACCCAATCTGTATTTGATCCCAATGATATAGACAAGATAGAGCAGTAAATATAATTCAAGATTGGAGGTGGTACATGTAATTTGCTATCTCAAGATGTTTAGGGTATGTGCGGTAGTATATGATAACAAAACAGAGGAAGAAATGTTCCATTTGCTACATTGCAGCAAGAATAACCATTGATGGAGGGGACAATCAAATGCACTCCTCGCTGGTCTCCCCAGCTCCACTATTCAAAAGATCCAGCTCATTCAGAACTCTGCTGTCCTCATATTGAACCGGACCAAACTCCGTACCCACATCTCACCAGTTCTGGCCAGGTTCCACTGGCTCCCCATCACCGAAAGGATTGACTTCAAGATCCTCACAGTCATGTTCAAAGCCCTTCAATCTTTGGCACCTCCCGACCTCTCCAACCTCCTCACTGCTCATTCCACCACCCAGTGCCTCCGCTCGACTGGCACCAGCCTCTTGCTCATCCCTCGCACCCTCTGCCATCGGAGGACACAGGCTCCGCCACTGTCAAGCACTCTGAGACCCTGCCCCGCGTGGAGGGCGCTATATACGTGCAAGTTGTTGTTGTTGACAATGAGGGAGAAGTAATGGCAGATAGACCAACTCCTCCAAAAATGAAGAGTGGGGGAGAATGGGCAATGTACCTGAAGCTGGAATAATATTACAGGTACAAAAAGGACAGAAGTTGAATTAGATGATGTGTAGGCTGGTTGGATGAAAGTTGAAGGGGGACACTGTTATCTCTGTACCATCCTATCTGGGTCAAGGTTAAAAGTATGTCTATAAGACAGACAGACATTAACAATGCCTTGGATCACAGACATGACAGCCTTTTTTTCAGGCATGACTTCTAAGAAATAGTTTAATTGCAGGGAGATCAACTATATCTTCCCACACAGGAGGATTTTACGTTTGGATACACTATTCATTTTATTCCAATACAGGGGATTTTCCATGTGTCAGTGGGATCCACGGAACTCTGTTTGGTTTGAATGCTCTCCCATATCAGTTCCCATACAGTTTGTAACACTTGATCACTAGAAACAATATTTTCCAAAATATACATATTTTTAACCCCCCCCTCCCCCCCCCACCCCCACCCCCCCCCATCCAAAGCTATTTCCCTCGATTTAAAAGGACCGTTTTGCCTCCAAAACACTCTGACGTTGAGAAACGAAATCCACCCTTAAAGTAACAATAAACGGTAATAAGTACACCTGAAAGCAGAAATTGTAATTATTTCCACACACACACACACACACACAAACACACAAAAAAGGAAACTTCTTCCATTGATAAAGATGTGCCAATTCAGCGGAGGAGTGACACTTGATAGGAGCGTTCAACGTTGGATCCACTATTACAATCATTGCAAATATCTCACGTCTTGGATAAGAATAACAACCATTATAAATAGTCTGCTCCAGGCTGGTCTCTCACATAAACAGCAACAGTTCCTTTGCAATCCACCTGTAACCTGCACATGCAATGCCCGTGACAGGGAATGGTATGACATGGGCGATGATGGCAAAGGCACTGTTGACGTTGGGTGGATTGCATCCCATTAATAACGAGGCACTTTTGAGCTACTGTCAGTCCGGGTGAAATATAACTGCTTTAAAGGGTTTGCGCGTCCTGTGCAACAATTACCTTTACTTCCAATATTTTCCGACAAGGTGGTCATGTCGGCTGCTTCTAAACCAAATAAATTGATGGGACTTTTCCCTGGACACAGCAAACATCATGGGGTGGGGTTCGATGCAGATGCCTTGCAGAGATCTTGTGGGACCCCAGAGAGTGGGGAGGATCCCCTGAGGTCGGATTCTGAACCTCAGGACTGTTTGAAAAGTAGAAGATAATGCAGATTCTGTCACTGTGCGTCAACTGAGCGCCACTGAGGTTCCTGTTAACATGAATTAACGTTAGAAATAGCTGCGGTGCTGATGGAGTGGGAGTGGGAGGGGGAGGGGGAGGGGTAGAATTTATGACCATAAATTTTCAGTGACTCAGATGCCTTCAGTGTGACTGACGGACCCATTAAATCTTCCTGCGACTCAAGGCACCGCTGAGAGGTTCAGTGAGTGAATGAGTGAGTGAGGGAGGAAGGAAGGAAGGAAGGAAGGAAGGGAGGGAGGGAGTGAGTGAGTGAGTGAGTGAGGAGGGAGTGAGGGAGGGAGGGAGGGAGGGAGGGAGGGAGGAAGAAAGGAAGGAAGGAAGGGAGGGAGGGAGTGAGGGAGTGAGTGAGTGACGGACCCACCGCTGAGAGGTTCAGTGAGTGAGGGAGTGAGTGAGTGAGTGAGGGAGGGAGGGAGGAAGGAAGGAAGGAAGGAAGGAAGGAAGGGAGTGAGTGAGTGAGTGAGTGAGTGAGTGAGTGAGTGAGGGAGGGAGGAAGGGAGTGAGTGAGTGAGTGAGGGAGGGAGGGAGGGAGAAAGGGAGTGAGTGGAGTGAGTGAGTGAGTGAGTGAGTGAGTGAGTGAGGGAGGGAGGGAGTGAGCTAATGATGGAGAGCTTTACTCTCCAAGTCACTCATCACCTCTGGCTCTGCTCTTGGGGGAGAGCCCGTGTGACCCGAGGAAGGGATGGAGAAGGTGACGGTGCTCAGCCTGAGCTTTGCTGCTCCTCATTCCAGACGTTGGTTTGATGGACATCCCCTGTGCTCAGTGCATTAAAGCGAACCAATGACGTGCAACAACCAACATCCCCCCATCAAACTGCAGCTCATCTGAAAAATAACAACGGGGCTCTCTCTCTCTCTCTCTCTCTCTGTGTGTGTGTGTGTGTGTGTGTGTGTGTCTCTCTCTGGTGATAGAGGGCAGAGTGGGGGGTGGAATTCTGCACAAAAAAAAAAAAAAAAAAAAAATGCATTCTCTGGGCTTTGAAAACCACAGAACTGTCTGCAAAAGTCACTGACCGCGCGAGTTTGCACCATGGGCACAGCGGAGGTGATCCTATCCCTCTTCGTGGTCGTGATGATGATCGTCTCGTTGCTGTCCAACGTGTTGGTGCTGATCTGCTTCCTCTCCAGTGCTGAAATCCGCAAACAGGTGCCCGGGATGTTCATCATCAACCTGACTCTCAGCAACTTGTTGACCACGGCGTTGAACATGCCCCTGACCCTGGTGGGGATGATCAGCCAGGGCCAGCCGGGGGGAGACGCCTTCTGCCGGACCGTGGGCTTCCTGGAGACCTTCCTCACCACCAACTCCATGCTGAGCATGGCCGCGCTGAGCATCGACCGGTGGATCGCGGTGGTCTTCCCTCTCAGTTACAATTCCAAGATGCGCTACCAGGACGCTGCCGTCATACTGGGCTACACGTGGCTCCACTCCGTGTGTTTCCCCGTGGTGGCCGTGTGCCTGTCCTGGGTGGGATACAGCCACCTGTACGCCTCCTGCACCCTGTGCCACAGCCGGACTGACGACCGGATCCAGTTTGTGGTCTTCACCGTAGCCTTTCACAGCCTGAGTTTCCTCCTGTCGCTCCTGGTGCTGTGTCTGACCTATCTCAAGGTGCTGAAGGTAGCGCGGTTTCACTGCAAGAGGATAGATGTCATCACCATGCAAACTTTAGTCCTGCTGGTCGACATCCACCCCAGGTAAGGCAAAGCCAAGGCAATACACACACACAGGGAGAGAGAGAGAGAGAGAGAGAGAGAGAGAGAGAGAGAGATGGAGAGAGAGAGAGAGAGAGATGGAGAGGGGGAGAGGGGGTGGTCAGTCCACCTGTGGTTTGTTGGTCCCTACTTCTCTTTCTTTTTTTCCAGCGTAGTTCAAAGAATGTATGGAATAATATATGTGCTGTGTTTGAATTCATATTATATATATATATGTGTGTGTATATGTATATATAGAGATGTTATCCACATTCCTGTAACAGTCACCATGTCTGGAGCTTATCCATGTAGAGGCAGTCAAACCACAATCTTGGTGAGATGAGGGCTTGAGATGTTCTGTACATTCTGTTAGTCTGCACAGCAATGTTTAAAGCTCTGTCTGTCTTTTCCTGTGCACACTCTCAATTTAATATATATATATTATATATACAATATATATATTATATATATTGTATATATAATATATATATATTATATATATTGTATATATAATATATATATATTATATATATTATATATATGATATATATATATTGGTTTCACCAGTAATTTCCTTCCTTTAAGCCTCGCTTCAGTATCCTTTCTTTGCCTGTAACAGAACGAATCTATCCATCTGTCTTTTTTTTAAGGTTGTACCATTCTACCTAGAAATGCCACACACGTTGCATCAGGGAAAGTAAATGTTCATGGCAATGAATGGCACATCTGGATTACACTTGTTTGTACGGAAGGTGCCTGAGGATGCTGGACTGACGTATCAATGCAACCTCCGCACTTTTCTGACTGACACCTTTTAAGATAAAATTCCAATCTAAACCATACACAGCGTAATGCAGTGGAGAGACATATAACTAACAGCCTCCTGTTGCTGATATTTGCTTAAGTTATTTTTTGTAATAGGATCCATTCTCTAATAACAAGAAGAATCATAAAGCTGGTTCACTTGATAAGGGAAAAGGCAGTGCCTTAAATAATACAGCAAAGTACACAGCACATGTGAATATTTTATTACTTCGATGGCATTTAGAAAGGTACCATGGCCCCTTGGTATTCCATTGCAGACAACAGGAGGGGGTGTTAATGGTTGTTGCTAACATTAGTTAGTATTCCCCTTAGAAAGTCCATTTTAAGATGACTTAAACAGAGATTTTAGCATCTGGCGTAGGAAATTTTATTCCATATATTAATATTTGTACACAGACTTATTATGTTTTCTTTAAAAAAACTTCACAAGTCTACTTGAGGATTATTTCCATTCACCCTCATGTAACTTCATTCACCATATCCAAAGATAAGGAAGAATGCATTCCTGCATTTCCATGGATAATATCATAAATTCTTGGGATATTATACCAGCTGAATTAAACTTGCCCAATAAGGTCACTAACAAGAGGGAAACTATTTCTATTGTGATTTTTTTAATGGGTCCATAGAACTGACAATTAATTGTGCTTAGCTCTATATAATTGTTTTCCTCTAGAATGGTAGTCAGTATTTTATCACTGTTCATTTTTGATCATACACCAAATATAACCTTAATGTTTTGGGGGAGGCTACAGTAACTGTAACCTACTCTTTGATTCTGTTTGGTATTCCTTGAACACCATTTTACAAAAAAGTATGTCTGCAACAAAACAAGACTAATCCTAGGGGTGGGGGGGAATCTGTTCGATGCACTAGTAAGTCATAATCAAAAGATTTGATATCTGCCTGACTCCAACCATCAAGCTAAGTTTCAGCTGAAGATGGAACTGTTAATAATTTATATTGAAAGCCATGCTTGCATCATTCTGCCACATTTATTTACATTGATCTTGAAAATACAAGAGAGTGGAAGAGTAAGCTTTTGATTTTGTTCTTTGAAATACTTGTTGAATTCCAGCTGATACAGCCCGACTTTCCTGTGGTGAGGTGTGGACAACCAATATGAAATGCATCGAATAACACTTGCAAGCAATACACTTCCTGTTCATTTAAACAGAAACTCCAGACAAAGTAACAGAAGGGCACACTTACACCCACTGAATAATAGTGGAATGGATGCCACAATCACACATGAAGTCTATTTCACATCGCTCCACTGCACGGTACAGTTTTGCCTCTAAACACACAATAACTGCACTTTACAATAGTTCCTGTGAACTGTTTTGAGATGTCGTGCGCATTCCGCCCACAAAATACAGTCAATCCACTTTACAGTATATTCTATGAAGCGCTTTGAGACTTCTCAGCAAAGTGATAATGGGCTATATCGAATGCAAGGATTATTATCATTATAATTGAAGCACCATTTCAGAGATAAAGTGTTTTGTCCACCCAATTTGTAGCCATAATGTTATCTGCAATCATTTGCAATGTACTTGGCTCCAGAAGATTGCTCTGTGTTCAGCTGATAGATAGTTGAGCATGTTGCTGTCTTCAACAAGTAGTATTCCCATCGAGCAATAAAAAGCCGGTCAACTAGAAACATCTTGAGAAATGTTACACTTTATCCACAGCATAGTACAGTGATGATACATTTTCCTTAGTAAATTTCTGCAAATAACGTAAGTTGTGGTCACATTAAATCTCAATTAATGTTTCATCAACAACAACAGTAGTGCTTTTCACACAGCAAAACACCTCAAAGTACTTTTTTTAAAAAAATGGGAGATAGAGAAGAGGTGGCCAAAGGTGCAGTCAGAAATAGATTTTCAGATGGGTTTTGAAAGGAGAAAGAAAGGGAGTGCGGTAGAGAGACTTTGGAAGAGAGTTCAAGAGAGCAGAGCAACAAAACCTAATGCTTGTGCCAGTGATGGGCCAAGTGAATGGAGGACATGAAACAGGCTAGAGTTGGCGGAGCAAAGTGGATGGGCAACAAGTTGGATCCCAGGAGATTTCAGAGTTTGGGAGGGGAAAGCTTGTGGAGAGATTTGATGGTAAGGATGAGGATCTTGAAATCAATCCACTGGGAAACAGAATTGGGAGGGGAATGATGGACTTGTGGAGCCTCATGCGGGAGACAACGTGGGCTGTGGAGTGAATTCTGGAGCATGTGGAGGATAGAGTCAACGATTAGGGCTTTGGAGACGTCACATCTGGAAGTGACAAAACTAGATTCCTGTTTTGGCTGTGTTGGAGATGAGATAATGCCTTTAAGAAGAGAAACACATTAGAGTCCCGGCTAACCCGACACTAAAACAATTTTTAAAAATATTCCGCGGGCCAGTTCGTGTGTAAACTCCCACTAGCCCAACTTTCCTAGCATGTGCCAATGATACACTGAGCAGCCTCACTGTCTTTGCTGGTATCCACAGTGACCAGGCATATCAACTTTGACTTTGGTAGTTTATTCGCTATCTTCTACTCGCGGAATTCAAACAATTTCAATACCGACCGTTGTAATTACAATAGGCCAGAAATTCCGGCTTGCTGGATGGATCATTTCCCCCCCATTAGTCCGGCTAGCCAGGGTTTAAGTGTATATATTTTGTGAACATTGGCTACAGTTATCATTTGTTGGATCATATTATCTTTGTATGAAATGGTCAGGATTTCTGAGAGATCAACATGCATTGTTTCTAATCTTTCTCAGATATAAAACCATAAGTATATTTTTCGTTAACATATCTAAGGATTACCGAATAATTTTTCTGAGCACAATATGATTGATTTACTCTCAGATTGTTTTACGATTTTTCTTTATTGCTGAGCAACAATTCAGTTGAAAGTGGATCTTTGTTTTTATTTAATTCTGTCAAGGACGATTGTTAAAACAATTCTATCATTTCTTAACAAAAGTATATTCATATTGCTAATGGGCATAAAATGTTTAAAATGGTTTCATCTTTTTTTTGTTATTGTTGTTGATTGTCATTTCTTATGATGGAAATGAATGTTCCTGCAAATTTTGCTGATTTCAATATTGTTAGCAACTCATAAGATACCAACCAGCTTGAATTGTGAGTTTCTTAGTAATATTTTTCAAATCAGCATATAAAATTGTCCCTCCAGATTCTAATACCCTTGGGTACATTACAGAAATTAATGTTGATGATTACTTCTGTGAATCTTGCTAGGGTTAGGCGATTTCCCACTACCGTGAATATCCCCTATAGCTGTTGATGTTATTTTGTTGCAGTGTAAGACAACGCTGCCTGGAAGAGCAGAAACAGCGGAGACAGCGTGCAACAAAGAAAATCAGTACCTTCATCGGCACATTTATACTGTGCTTTGCACCTTATGTCATCACAAGGTGTGTCCCAGTAATGGATATTTAAATTGGAGTCTCAAACATACAGCAAATCTGTCAATAATTATGCAACAGATGCACTTTATTCACTCTTCATTCACTTTGAAGAGAGTATTGATGGGCTGGTGACATTGAAGTCCAAACCAACTTTACAGAATGTCTGGTCTTATTAATTCCCACCTTGTTATAAAGTTTTAAGTCATTTGTCAGATTTAGGTACTGAATGAGTGTGACAGTGCTTCTTGTATAAATTAAATGCTGCCTTCGATTATTGGTTTGAAGCAGTTTAATTCTGGAAAATGTAAGCAAATGATACAGAACATTTTAGAAGACTACTTCACTACAAGGTACAAATGTTTGTACAGTTCTCAATCAGTGTTTGGGCTGGTCAAAAAGAGATGCTGCCACTTGAAAATGTGTGTTACATTTCTCCCTGGGTTATATTACTGTCTTAGGTTCTGAGAATTTTATATTATTTTATATTTATTTTTCTTTACAGTCTGTAGCTCTTAATTTAGGTCAAATCATTACAATTTGATTTAAAAGAGCATTTTCAACATTAGGTATACAGAGTTAGAATCATTTAAATCATTATAAGAAAGTACCATGCCTAATATAAAGCTTGGGTTTAAAATTATAAACCCTAATGAATGACTAGTCATTAGATTTCCCACCCTCATAGTAATCGTATATAATAGACTCCCAAGTAAAGCTGATGGGATTGCATCAATTAACTCCTTCAAAAATAACTTGACCACATCTGCTTAATGACAGTAATGGAGGCTATAGGGATATAGTTCAGACCAGCTGCATGATATGTGTGTGGTTGCACAAAATATTATCTCTTGAGGGAAGCAGGTAAGGTTTAAATAGCGGAGATTTGTGGATGGAAGAAGACTTTAGATATTTTACTTGATAAGGTTTGTATTGTATGGACTGCACATGGAGAGGCCTGATTTGCTAATTGGTCTTTTAATCCACAATTTCTTTTGTTCTTATGAATGGGTTTTGTTGTAAAGTTTAGCCTACTTAACAGAGATGATTTTCATGGTTATGTTAGTTCACTCACCCACAGATTTAATATCCTTTGCTCAAAAGTAGCAATGTAGATAGAAGTGTATGATATTCGTGTTTATACCACATAAGTGTAGATTCCAGATGGAGACTGAACATATGTCCCAATGTCTCTAATCTCCAAATCAGTGCCCTTATAAATCCTTTTCTAAACCGTTATATTATTATTGTCCATTGATGTGAAGCCACTCTACCTTAAAAAAAATCTGGATAGAATAAATATAGTTTATACTAATATTTTGTATGTCTCAAAGCTGGTAAGTCATCAGAACATAAGCAGCTGCTCTCAATTATCTCAGAACAGTGGTACTGAACACAATCAGAAACATTATTCGTTGATGATTCTCTGCAGAGTTAGCACTTAATTTCCTCAGCCTCAGGTTCAACTTGCGCTGGTCTCTATGAGACCCACACTGAAGTTAGTAATGATCTGTATTTAGCAAAATGTTGCTGCTCCTATATTTTAAAATAATCATCTGTGTTCCGCATATAGATATTAATAGTTAATCAGAAATTCTGTGAAACAGATCAGTTGACCTTATTCTAATAAACTACCATTTGGATACTGGTTACAAACACATTCATTTAATCTTTGCTTCATGTAAAGAAATGAATGTTAGAACAAACATTGAATTTTGGAAAGTGGAATTGCAGTTAATGAAGTGGAGATGGAATTAATGGTGAATTAATTGGGAGTGTGTTATTTGTCATTTCCTTCCGATTCTAACTCCCAGCTTGGGTGCAAACCCTTGACTTGGGATGTTCTTTCAACATGAAAGGCGCTATATACATGTAATTTTGTTGTTGTCATTATTTATATATGATCTATGGATCCCAATAACTATTCTTAAGGTAAACAATTTGTAACAATCTTTACAGCTTCATTGTTTGTAGCAGGATTTCTATTCACCACCTACTTTATAGAATCATAGAATTATACAGCACAGAAGGAGGCCATTTGGCCCATCATGTCTGTGCCAGCTCTTTGAAAAGAGATATCTAAATCAATCCCATTTCCCCGTGCTCTCCCATAGCCCTGTAAACTTGTCCTTCCCAAATAATTATTTAAACCTTATTTCTGCACAACGTTAACTTTTAGGATAGTCTTAAGGCTAAGGTCAGGCAGAATTTTGGATCTCATAAGGCTGGAGGTTCATTAATGAAATGGACTGTGATGAATTAGCTAATCTCATCTAGCGTCTCCTCTCAATTGGCTTTCATTCTCACTCCTAATTGCCAGACAGTGACAGTAGGGAGTGAGAAGTGATGAAACATGCCGATCTATTCATATTCAATGACAACTAGATTAATATGCCTGCCAACGCACCCTATTTGGGATCTTACATAAAGAAGAGTCACTTGGATGAGGTACCGATAGACAACTGCTAGTGGCAGAACTAGAAAGAAAATGTGTAGAAAATTTAAAAACTAAAAATATAAGTGGTCTCACTGATCTAGGAACATAGGAGTAGGCCATTTAGTCAGTCAAAGCTGCCCTAGCAATACATTTATTGGAACAATCATTTACTCAATTATTTTCTCCATATCCATATCCTTCATAGTCTTTCCTTATCGGGTTTCTGTCACTCTCATGAATCCATCAATTGACTTTCTGTCTATGGCCTTTTTATTCTCACTTCCTTTAAAAACTCAGGCAAAATGCACTCTTCCTTGGTTTTGCAATGACTGTTTCCCAGTGAACATCTGGCTGATCATTAATGCTCTGTTCATTTCATAAATTTCCTTAAGTGAAAGAACATTCCCTAGTCTGTCTACTCCTCCAAGGAGGTCCATAACAGCATATACATTTAATTCTTTCATTTTGAAGGCTTAAGATGATGTGAAATCTTCTCACATTCACATTGCCACATTCCTCCTGTTTTCCGTTGCATATTTTGTCTGTGAATTGTACACACTGGCATTTTAATCACAATTCCATTCAATACCGTCATCTAACCAAATCCCTGTTACTTCAATTGTCATTCCTCAATTTACCCGCTTCCAATTCTGAAAATCTTGTTGAATATTCTCCTATTTTGTATATAAAATAATTCACTTCCAATTTCCATTTTATTTTATTTCTAACCCTTTTGCGTTTCTTTCTCATTTTTCAATACAATTACCTCTACCTGGTCCAGACAAACCAACATTGTGCCCATTCCTTCTCCATTCACTCATTTAAAAGGACTAGGTAGTTCTCTATATCAACAAGATGCTTGCTTCTCCCTTTTAGCAATGAATATCTTTTATTGTTTGGCCTTTATCTTTATATTTCTTCATTATTTTCTCCCTTGAAATATAGCTACACTCCTGCACCTCAATAGCTGGTGAAATGGTGGGGAAGGGGATGGGATGAGATAAGATGGACACATAAGGAAGCTTTCTCAGTCTTTAATGTCGCTCCTTAATCATTTGCCAGCAGATACATTTTGACAGCCCTTGATGCTACTCTTCTTCCAGTTAATTTGACTTCCAACATCAGTTGACTTGAACAAAACTGACAATATTGATCCTTTAGTAGGAGTCTTGGGATGTGCTCCCGACGTGAAAGGTGCTCTATAAATGCAATCTTGTTGTTGTTGAGTCTATTTTCAAAAGACTTTAATTTGAATCAAAGCCTCCTAGTTAAACATTTGTACTGTAAACTAGGACTATGTTCACTAGAATCATAGAATTATACACAGAAAGAGGCCATTCGGCCCATCATGTCTGTGCTGGCTCTTTGAAAAGAGCTATCCAATTCAATACCACTCCCCCACTCTCTCCCATAGCCCTGCAAACTTGTCCTCCTCAAATAATTATCTAAATAATTACTAGGACTAAGCTGCTTAACTCTTTATAGCAAGGTTGAAAATTATTCACAAAAAACCTGTTAAGAATAATCATTTTATTCTGCATTTTCATTATTGTTTCATGTATTGAGTTAATCCTTTGCAGTAAATGTAGTTTTTTAACAGTTGAATATGGTTTGGTTCAACTGAATGTTAATTTCACTAAGATTTTCAGTGTTCATTAAATAAGATGAGACAGTGCTGGCACCAAGGTTAATAGCATGGTGCAATATAATTCACCATCTTCGTCAAAGAATATTAATGCATAAAATGAAAATTGAAATCTTCAACATTAAAAGTGACCACACGTATTCTGAAGAAGCTACACAATTGTAATTGGGTCTCAGGAAGATTGTTTGGCTATCAAGGTCTTAAACTTTGGAGCAAATGCTATTATGTAGGCAGAATAATATTTACGTGCTGTGCATAAATGTTAGGGTAGTTTGGTGCTTTTTACATTGTTTTTAAAAACTGTAGTCATGAGCCATAAGGCAAGTCTTGGCACATTTGAGCAATTGGATCGGGCAGTCATATATATTTTAAGTGGGCAAAAAATGTTATGGGGATCTCACTCCATAACATTTTCACCTCCATTCAGTGAGTGCAGGATATAATTAGAATGAAGGCAACGTTGAAATTAGCTTGTTTGCCTTCTCTCGAAGAAATCTGTGAAAGAGCAAAACTGTAAATTTATGAATCGCATGAAAACATTTCTGCTAACATCTTGTGCTTTTTGGCAGGCTGGTAGAATTGTCTACATCAGTATCCATCAATCCACTTTGGGGGATTCTTTCCAAATGCTTGGCTTACAGCAAGGCTGTCTCAGATCCCTTTGTGTACTCCTTACTACGTCATCAATATAAGAAGACATGGATGGACATTATTAATAGATTCCTTAAAAGAAGTTCTTTGAACTCCTCCGCACTAACAGGTGAAACACAAAACAGCAATTTTTTACAAACAGCAGAATAAAAGTCAAACAACATTCGCAAACAGAACAATTTTTAACAATCACGTGATTTGGACGTTTTGGTGGAATTATCTGTCTTATGGAACTTTTGACTTCATTCTGCTTTCTACTAATTTCAGGCAACATTTTGGTGCAATGTTTAAATGATCAAAGGAAAGGCAGCACAGTTCACCTTTGCACTTTTGTAATTGTAATTCTGCTCATTTCCTAAAACGTGCTTCAATGAATCGTGTGTAATTTCGATGCGTCCTGCAAAAGCTCACTCCTTGTAAATCTATGGGTGAGTGAGTGGCTGTATCCTGCATTTGAAAGTGTGAATGCATTTGCAACTGAGACTGATGAGAGCTAAAATTAGCCTATATAGATATTTATAGTTACAGTCAACCAACGGAAACAGAAAGAAACAATTTTCAGTTTCAAGTACTTCTGATTTCAGAAGAGGTCACAATAAAATATATTGATGGCTCTTTTACAAATCAGAACCTTAAACGTCATCTCTTGGAGGCTTTTTTTGGTCATCTCTGGAGTTACGGACATTTGGTGGATTTCCCATTATAAAATCATTTCACTGAGATCAATACATTTACCGAGAGTACAATGTACAATGCCAGAGTCTGTAAAGCTACCGATGATCAGAGAATCCACCAAGAATGAATTCAAACAGTGAATCCTCATTGAATCCATCAGTTTGCCAACAGGAAACAAGTTATTTTGATTTCATGATCTCAGCAGTGGCATTCAGTGGGATCTCACGCATAATGGAGTTGTCAATTTAAATTATTTTGTTTGGTAACTGGGTTGCAATAATAATCGTTGTCATCTTTATTATAGTCCAGAAATTGACCTGATTGTTAATAACATGCTATTTTCTTTCTAGCAAATGAGTTTCAAATGAGTTATCCCACTGAACTAAAGCATCATGCTGTATACTACTGACTTCAAAATGAATTTCAATCTTAAGATCTTCTGGGGAACATTGCTGAAGTATGCGGAGCGAATGTGTGCATTATATCCTTGATTTTTTTAACTCAGAGAGGCAGATTAATAGGAGAATAAATAAACCACAAGTTTTCAAAAACATAATTAAAGCTTTTGATTTCACTGTCAGTCATCCCGGAAAGAAACCTACCAGTTGTATGATTTTCATTTGATGAATCTGACTCCTGTCCCAGATTTATTCCTATTATTTTTATATAACTTTGCCAGTGTATAAAGCAACATGTCTATTACCATATAACTATGACATGTCCATCAATCAGTATAAAGTAGAAAAGCAACACTGAGCAATGACATTTTATTATACCAATTGGCTCAAAATGGGAGTATTATTCATGCCCTAAAAACAAATTTGCAAGACTTTACAGCTGGAATTGAACCAAACAAAATCAATCTCCCTGAATGATGACTATTCCAGTGATGCACGATTTTTGAGTTTAAAAACCAAATTAAATTGGCTTGTTATGCTCAGGTCAGTCAAGACTTTTCCTTGAAACATTGCATCCAGTCGCTAGAGCAGCAGATCAAAAAAAGGAGCCTCGAGTTAAAATCTTACATAAGGTTGACATTGCTAATCATATCCCTTCTATGTACATTACTAATGTTTCCTTTCTATCTTTTTTATATAACAAAACTAATTTAAACAGTTTTCCGAGAACTTAAGAATGTAAATGTAAATAGAGAGTTGTATTACCCTTTGTGGCCTACATTGGATAGCTAGTTGCAAGCCCATAATAAATCCCTCTGTCACTGAATACGTAAAATCCCAGTTTCCAGCCTAGTAACAGTGAGCTCAGGCGAGGAGCAATCTCCAAAGATCCCACATTCTGCATGTCATGTGCCACCAACCCTTAATAGAACTCTCTTGTCAAGCTCTGTTTTTGAAGACGATCTGGACCAGTCAATCCTGTGCAAAGTGGATTGTCTTCTCTGTATCCCAGAATACTGGTAATATGCCAAGCACCCCACCCCACACCTTTGCGGAATCGAATTTTGCCAGAAACGAATTGCCTTTGAATTCCCATTTCCACAAGGTAAAATACCTTAACCTTTAAGTTATTCGTCGCGTCATTTGTGCTAACCACGTGAATGCCTTGTTTTGGCAGTTGAGTAAAGTTGAATTACATTTAGTGCAAAGTGTGTGAACTGAGATTCAGGTGGACAAACAAAAATGTTTTACACTTAATACTTAGGATATTGCAAGGCAGACAATATCATCAGTTACCAAAGGATGATGGCATAATTTCATGTTTTCTCATGTCTGCTAATATTCATTCTTAGCATAGCCCAGTTGAATTAACAAGACAAACTGGAACATTTACCTTTCAAGTAGCTGGTATTTTCTTGTAAATGCAAATAACTACTGTATTACAAACTAAGCCAATTCTGTCAGGGTGTAATTTACTTTTGAAATGAGAGAGTTTTCCCATGCTTTTTAAAATATCTAATAAAATGGCCATCATGATACTGCCAAATCAAATGATAGATAATCTATTATAGTTAATGGCTTTGTTCATCTCTCAAAGGATTGAAGGAAGTATGAATACAGTAATAACTTTGAATCCCCTAATGGCCCTTTTATATTACATGGCCTCTTCAATGAAGAGCAGCTTCAAGTGTTGTGTTGGAGCTTCAAGTGTCATGATATGCATTCAATGGGCAGATTCCATAGTGCTGCAGGCACCGGTCACACAGGTGCCAGTTTGCACACCCGCAATCGTTTGGAACTGGCAAATGACAATTTTTTATTTTCTGCTCACGGGCCATGAGTTTGTGAAACTGTTTTTTTATCTACTGTGGTAAACCTTAAACATATTCATTATGGATGGTATCAGGGATCAAAACATTAGGAAAGAAGTCCGCCAATTAAAACAGGATTTCGGAAGCTGCAATCAAGGGAACTGCAGTGAACTGCAGAAGAACACCCTGCAATTACCCCCTCATTAAAACTAAACCAAAGGCAATGAAGATTGGATGGCCAATTACTTTATTGCACACACAATGGCATCTACAAAATGTAAACCCGGAGGTTGACTGAGCTTTTAGTGCAAAGTAAGAACAAAAATAGAAACACTGATACTTTCTGAGTTTAAAAACAATCCGTTTTTTTTCAGTCAGAATGAAAAATTAACCTATGGGTTTCAGCCTTACCATAGATGGTATCAATTAGTCAATTGTAACTTTCTTCCACCCATTCCCTGATTTCAAACCCACGATCCAGTCTTTATTCTTCACTTCCGCCAGGGAGGATTCTATTTCATCTAATAATAATAATATTTAGCACCTTATCACTTCGACAAAACATCTCAAAGTGGATTTACTCTAAAGTGCAATCACTGTGTAAACTAGACAAATACGGCAGCCAGTTTTCACACAGCAATGTCCCACAAGCAGCTGTGAAGTAATTGATCAGTTTGGTTTTATTTGAATCTCCCTTTTTCTTTTCTCTGATCAGTACTTTCAGGAGTATATTCTTCTTATATCTGAACATGCCATGCAGGATTTTCCTTTTCAAGTACATTGGGATATCCTCACAATCTACAAGATACTTTATCAATGTGACTTTTTATTGTAATGGGCTTGCAATAAGGAATAATCGTGAGATGAACGTACTCAGCAGATTAATGTTTCATTGAAGTGAGGACAGATTGGTACCACCAAGCTTTAGATGCTCACAGATCTTGTTCATTAACCACTGTTGTGTGCTCCAACATCTGGCCTGTTTACAGGCAAATTTTGAGTTTTTGCTGTGTGCTCAGCAACTAAATGGAAAAACGACAGGAGTCCGATTGCCAATAAACAGTCCTCCTTTGAAGCACCTGGAACACCAAAGATAAGACCGTGAAGCTTCCCCTGTCTGAAACACATCAGTTTAGTGAAACTTCAACCTGCCAAGGTTCAAGAAGAGCCCTTCAACTAATGATTATTCTTCATTGATAGAAGACAGTTCAGAAAAGGAAATGTCATGAGAAACATGAAGGGGCATATCCAGTATTTCAGACTGACAGCATTTTCCTGCTATAGTATGGTTGTGTTTTTTTCTAAAAAAAAGCTTAGTTTAATTATATATGTTTTTAATCAGATTGGAGCCTCAATAAACTGAAAACTCACCCACTGCTTAATGTGAAAATCATAGCACCAGCTGTGCACAGCCATCGATGCAAATATGCCAATTGATTTTCATTTCATTATTAATTATTTTATCTGTGACATTAATCTTAATAACAAATATATTCCTGGCGCACACAGAGTGGGGCATTTTGTACAAGAGATTACATCATGAACATATTGTTGTCAGTCTTTAGATATTTGTGAATTGGATTCTCTCAATGGCTGAGTGGGTAAATACAACACACACACACGGTGTGTTGTCACTGTACTGAGCCATACAGACCATGATAGCATGTGGGCAAATAGAGGTGATCTCATATGAGCTAGCAATAGAAGTGCCCTGGGGTGGAGGTGAGGGTGGGGGAGACACCTGTCAGGGTCTGTATTCTACATGTGTCAACCCTATCAGAAGAGAAAATATCTGCAGAAAAAAACAAAGGATTAAAATCCTATATTCTCAAGACCTTCTTCCTTGACTGTGCCTTCGGTCATCATCCCACCTCTACCCTCCCACCCACTCCCACCTTGCCCTCCACCCCCTGCTTGCACCCCCCCCCCCCCCACCTGACTCCAAACCCAGCTTGGGTGTAAACCCTTCACTGTTCAGCATCTTGGGATGTCCTATGGCACTATATAAATGCAATTTGTTGTGGTTGAGTACATACCTTCATTTTGTACAATCTTTCATTGGAGTTAGTGAAAGCTAAAATAGAACTACATCAAAGTTCCTTTTGACTTATTTTCCCCATTTACCATTTTCACTCCTTCTGTCTCAAAGCTATCCAGTCCCCAGTAAAGACAGCTGGAAGGAACTTGCCTCTAAGCATCTATCAATGATACTTTGTGATTGGTAGCAAAGATTTCTTTCCTTTCTGTTGGAAAGGGCCACACTTGC